AATGTGGCTCATCACTGTTGACGTCCCAGCCCCTCCTCTCCCAGGTGAGCTTGTTCTGGGCCTGCTGCACATTATTCCTACTCTACTACTCTCCAACTAAGCCAATAACACCGTCATCCGCTATCTCACAGCAATACTAACTCAAATACTATTAACTGCTTGTACTAACTCCTGTTCACTTTCTCACAGTAATGTTCTACTCACAAACTGCTACGGCTCTCCTCTGGCTCTCCAGTGGAAACACACCAGGCTTGCATTTATTACCACCAGAGCCAGAAGCCAGACAGACTGCCCCTCCTACTCTTCTTCCATCAGAGTCTGGGAATGGTTTCCCAATCTTTTTACACTACATTTCTATTTTAAAACCGCAAACACCACTAAAACTCAAGCTTTCATTCACCCACAGGCATGACCACACAGGAGAAAAGGTCTGATACAATCTGACAGACGACTAGGGTATACTCTCTACACTTCTGGCTTCACTGTCTTTTTTATCCATTTACTGTGGCCTTTTTCTGTCAGAAACCTTCAGGGATATCCGTCACTTACACTTACAGTACATAGAGCACATGCCACTGCTCTGCCTTATTGTATCTCCTGTGGCCACAGCTGCCCTACTCTGCCATTCAATAAGACTGTTTACTCCAGTTTCTCTGAAGACGGCCCTGTGGATGGCTTGGATGTTCCACCAGCTTTCCAACACTTTATGGCTCCTACAGCCAACAACATCTCTATCCACACTGCCTCCCCGACAACCACACTCACATAGCACATACTGTATTTCTAACACCTCCACTGCCCCTGCCAGACCTCTTCTCCAGCGACTGCAGCCAGAAGCCTCTGCTGCTGAGTTAATAAGGCTGCTTTCTCCAGGTTCAACAGAGCATTTGCCAGAGAGAGTGTTGCTTCTGAAAGAGTTTAAATAGGTGGACTCCCAGCTGCCACCCATGAAGGAATCAAGGCTTGGTAGCTGTGAGCTCCCGGATGAGCACCAGCTGACAAGCTGTCAGAGTCCTCTTTTGGAATTAGCATATGATTAGTGTTTTTAACTGGGAATCAGAAAAAAAAATATTTTAAAAAGTTTAAAGGGATGTCACATGACAAAAAAAACAAGGGACACATTAAATGTAACACCAAAAGTATATATAGAAGGGTGGCATAGTGGTATAATGTGAAGCCTCACAACTGCTCAAAGCCAGCAATGTATACCATGTAGTCATGTCCCTGAAAAAACAGTTCTCTTTGCTTTTTAGTCTAAGAGTACACACTGTAATAAACCTGCACCACACTGCTATGCAATTAGTGTAAAATATTAGGTACCATAAAGTCACAAGAATAAGAGAGGTGCTGTTAGATCAGAGCTGCACATCCAGCAACAAACAATGAGAGACATAAGAAATTGCATCTTCAGCTGTCATTTTAATTAAGTATAATGGATACTGCCTGTGAAATTATAGTTGTCTGACTATAGCTAAGTTTATTTAACATTCATTTATATACAGTAACTAGTGTTAGTCATGATTTCTAGGGTAGAAACTAATTGAAGATACAAAGTGTTGATATTTAGACCTTGACCTCCATAGACTTTAACAGAGTGGCAGAAATAACTATCTACATTCTGTAAATTCATATTATAAAAATAGAGGTGGCCAATGCCTGCAGCTGTGACTGTACATTTGTATCAAACACTAAGATTTTTTTTTTGTTCTTGAGCAACTGCTGTTTAATGATTTAAATGACCACTGGCATGGAATGATGCAATAACCCAAAGGCATGTAAATAATGAACAGCTGCTGTACTGACATGCAAGACAACTATAGAAACACACCCATTAAAGACCAAGCCAAGCCTTTAGTTGACAAGACGAAAAAGAAAGCTGCTTTCTGCTTAAAATGATTACACCACTGAATGCTATCAAGCCACACCCTTTTGAAAGATTTATTGCTGTTTCAGCATCAGCAAGAGACTCTACCCCAGACATTAAAATACTGTGCTGAATGGACGATCAAATAATTAAGATATGTGGGAAAGAGGTCAGGTACATAAAAACTGTAATTTGAATGGATAACTAAACATACATCTATAGATGCAGACATGCTTCTGAAATTGAATTTTAGACAAGCGAACTCTCCACAAAAGAACAGAGTCATATCTATTCAGGCTTTCTATGTGGTACGATATTAAAATATTTTTCTGTATTTGTTATTTACATATTTTATATACATATAACTATAAGTCTATGCCTGTGACATACAAAAACAGAGACAAACGGCTCTGTTAACACTGTATTATCTCCTAATAATGCAAGATTCACTTGAATGTATAATGCCCAGGAGAAATGATGCAAGAGCACTTCTCCAAGAGCACAGGTGAAGCCTGGAGGAAGCTGCTTTGTGTCAGCTAAACCACAGGACTGCAAGTATTCCAAAACCTCGTCAGGAAATACCCATACACTGCTATTTGCAAGTTTCTAAGGGTCCTTTCTTAAAAGAATAATTATTTTGCTAATGACATAATGCAGTACTGGTATTCCAAAAACATAGGACAGACAAAAATATATTTTTGTTAATTATGCTCTTCTTCAAACTTACCATAAATTAAGAGACCATTGTGACATTAACATGAAAGATTAACTGAGAAGTGTTCACCTCCATCTGCAACCCAGAGCTCTTATGTAAATACAAAACAGATGAGGCAGGATCATATAGCTTACCTGTCTGAAGGACAACGAGTTGTTTTTTGTTTTATTGCTGTTAAGATGTGCACAACATCGACCCAAGGCAGCCAGGTCTTTCATAATGGAGTTGAGGGCTTCCTCGTCATCTGTAAATAAAAACAAGATTGTAAGAAGGTGAGATTCATTCATAGACAAGCATCGCCTCTTATGATTTATATTGACTATAATCAGTACCTGTGACTGCACTTGCACAGGTTTTGGATACAAGATCCACTTCAGAACTACAATGACAGCTGTAGCCTGTTTATTTCTGTTTACTGTTACAAGGAAACAAGGAAACCACAGGTTTCTCCCGTTATCAGTTTCAAGCTCAGGTAACACGCAGAAACCTGAGTTCTTGAAAAATCCAGCCATGGAAACTTGCATACGTGGTGCAAGATCCTTCATTATGCCTCATCTTGCTATAACCACATATGGATCAGTACACCCTGCCACTTACATTTGTTCAACAGCATGACTTTAATATTTCAAATGACTTCTGGGATTACACAACTTGTACAAAATAAAATTTGATTAGGTGTTTTATATGGCGGCACACACAGTTGAAATTGCATTCCTAAACGGGCAAGCGACAGTTGCAAGACAGGGTACACCCTGGCCAGGACACTGGTCCATCGCAGGGCACACACAAACACACTCACCCCAGGACCAAATTCCCAGAAGCCAATTAACCTACCAGTATGTTTTTGCAACTATGGGAGGAAACTAGAGAACCCACTGTAAACTCACACAAACACAGGGGGAAGAACTCTACATGGATAGTACCCCAGGGTGAAATCAAACTGTGTCACCGTGCCGCACACATTGTATTTATTAAAAAATAAGTCATTTCTAACAATTCTACCTTGTTTTACATTCTGGTGGGTGACTACAGTGCACATTTACACATCCTCACTTATACACACAAAAACAATTGTAAGTGAAGTTTAATAGAATTAAGGCTATAAAGAAAACTATGTGATTTGTGTTGGTTTAAGTTCTTATGATATTTACTGGTTGCATCATCCATTTCACAAACGACAGAGGGCCAAAAGATGGGGAATTTACATTTAGAAGCACATGAAATTTGTTCAATATGTTTGCCAGAGGCTTACCTTACTGTAATATAAAACAACAATAATAGAAATCAAGACAAAATGAGCAGAAATTAGAAGAATTAGAAGAAATACAATGTTCTGTAATACAAGTATCTCATTTTTCCATGTTTTTTAATTCATTATATATCATTTATCTTAAGTTGTTTTTGCCTGAGATTCATACCTGACTTAATTAAAATAATGTATTTGAATGTTTTAACATACATTTAGAAATAAGGACAATAAAAATTCCACTGCATAGAAAAAACAATCTTCTGCAAGCCAGACAAACCTCACGTTTTATAATTCAGGCATTGGATAACTATCTATGTACTGTAGCAGTACATGTGGCAAAGGAACTTTCCAGCAGAACCACTATGATCTCACAGGGCTGAGGTACAACTTAAGTATTAGTAAAGAAAATTGAAGAAGTCCCTAAGGACAGCAATTCTTTTACAGTTTTGTAGATGAAGTTTACTAACATGAATGGGAAAATCCCTACTCTGACTTTTATTCTTCAACGAAGAAAACAAGAAGTACCCACAAAAATGCATTTCTTTTTGCAGCTGCTTCTGTCATTTCATGTTACTCATATCAGACAATAATTAGCTCCCTTTTCCTCAGTCACATTATCCTTTTTAGGAATCAAATAAATAATTGAGACCTAAGAACATTCAAGCTTATTTTCTCATTGAGTTTCATGTACAGCATAGCTTCCTAATAGTTTAAAAGTAGCTCCTAAAAATTTGCAGATTTTAAATTAATGTAATCCTAAAACCTTTAAAGTATCTTGAAATCTCCAACTATGCCTGAAACCTGAAAGGACACTTTAAAGGCTTATAAAATAGATATACGTTCATAAGCAGTACATAATAGGCTTAAATTAACAATTCCCGGGGCCAAATAACAAATGGTCTCCCATGTTAAATGAAGTAAGCAAGTGGTTCTCAAACTTTTTGGACCATGTACCACCCCTGATCAAACCAAAGCATCCAAGTACCACATACTGTACAAGTCATCTTCTCATAGGAACCCCAGAAAATCTCATTGACCAACATGTGCGCGCATGCGCGCACGCGCGCACACACTCACATACACATATTATCGATATGATAATAAACTTTATTTGATATAGCGCCTTTAAAAGTGGCTTCTCAAAGCGCTTTACAGAATGACAACAGGAAAAATAAGAATTAAAAATAAACAATAAAAAAGCACCTTTTCAGTGAGAGGGGTGAGCCTGTTTAGTCTAGCAAAGCAGATTTGAATTCATTGGTCGAGCCATGATACAATTCACAACAGAGTCTAACAGATTTTATATCATCAGGCATTTTTTTGACAGCCAAGGCCTCGCGGTGGATGTTGCAATGCGTCCACTTCATATCTGGAGCAACTTCTAATTTGTGCAACTACACCGCTGTGTCGGCTTGTCATCGCTCTAACACCATCTGTACAAACTCCGACGCGTTTTATCCTGTCGATGACATTCTCTTCGATGCATTTATTCAGAAGCTGTAATATGTGCTCTCCTGTAGTTCCTGTTGGTAGCGGCTTACAGAACAGAAAGTCCTCATGGGACGTACCCTCAAACTCGTATCTAACGTAAACGAGCTAATTGGCCAAATCAATTACGTCTACAGACTCGTCTAATTGCAGTGAAAAGCATCTGCTCATCTTAACGCGCTCTATCAATGTACTTTTGACATCATCCGCCATACCAGTAATTCTACCAGTGACTGTCTTTTGAAGGGGGCAGCAGCTTTTTCTCCACACATAATACGTGTCAGCTCTTTTGCAAACGGTAAACAAAGTTCTTCACAAGTAGTGTGGGGCTTACCTGCTTTAGCAATCCACATTTTCCCCATTTACGTTTCAGAAGTTTTTATTTCATGCACATGGGAGCGAAACACAGAGATGCTCAGTGTATTTTTTTCAAATTAACCTAGAACAGTCCTTAGATATCTATCACAGTTTCCTGTGCTCACAAGATTGCCAGTGTTCCAAAACCATGCACGTTCTCCTACCTCCCTATTTGCTGAAGATAACTTTTTTTAAAATACAATTGGTCACTTGCGTTTGTAGTATGCATTTCTATGCTTTCCTGTGCTTACAAGGTTAGCATTGTTCCAAAATCACGCACATTATCCTACCTTCCTATTTGCTAGAAATAACTTTTTTTAAATACATTTGGTCACTTACATTCATTACATGCATTTCTATACAATGGTATAGAATTACATAGTAGCTCTTTTGTCCACTCAAGAATTAGCGTGCGCTGTATCATATCGGACGTAGGCTGCGTATTTGACACGTAATAAAATAGAAAATATGGAAACCGGTCCCAATTTTTCAGTGCACACAACAAAGTTCCAGGGTCATACGGTATACCAGCTGGCAGCGGCCATACCATAGTTTGAGAACCACTGAAGTAAGCTAATTAGGCCTAATAGAGATTATCTGGAAAAAAAACTTTAACACCATGTAAACTTTCTAGAACTAGAATTATCCTCTCCTGAGATAACTGAACAATGTGCTTGCTTAATGAGTAGGAATTTACAACCTTTCAGTGTCCTTTAATTGACTGCAACTTGACTCTGTTACCTGTGGTGTTCGAAGAATTCAGACACTGCCCAGCCATTGATAAAACAAACGATACAGGATGCATCAAACAGCAGGGCATGCTGGTCCCTGGGGCTCCATTCTAGCCAAGTTCTCAAGCAGGAGCAATCATGTTTAATTTGATCTTTTTAGTCATTTTAAGTGCTAAAAGTGGAAATGCTTAGGTTTACCTATAAAAGTGAGTTATCTAAAACATGGCATTTTTCCCAGGCGCTGAAAACTGAAAAAGGGACTGACTAAGCAAGTTATTCTTTCAGTCAAGGGTTCAATCTAGTAAATCAGTGCGCAGCTGGGATGGATTTGTAGAACTTACTTTAACCATGGCAGGAAAGCGTCATGTCCTGCCTGCATGGTGCTCTCAGCTCTCATTGTATAAATCTAAATTCCTCGATTCACCTTTTCTAAATAACTACAAGCACAAAAGACAAGAGTTTGTATTTACGAAGCTTTCTGAAAGAAATTTCAAATGGTTTATTGATGAAGTTTAATTAATTAAAAAAAGAGGTATCCTTAATCTGCACTATTTCTTCTGAGTATTAGCTACTGTATATGTTAAACACGTGTAGGTATAAAATCTATTGTATTATGTTTTGTTAATATTCTGTGTTTACCGAGAAGTAAAAGCAGCATACTTTGAAGATTCTGTCAGGCGAATCATTTGGCAGCTTTCCACTAAACACCAGTGGGAATAGCTCATGCAGCTTGGATTCATTTTACAGTGTAAAAGCACACCTACAAGCAGTACTGTAAGCCCTCTCAGAAAACCGCAGCTCTGCAACCAACTCGACAAAGCAATATTTGATTGGTAAACCCATGAAATGTATTCATTTTACTTTGTTGAGGTATGATAAACCAAAAGTTTTTTCCATTCTTATTAAGGACATTACTTAGAAAATCTAGCAAATATCAAGAAGAAACAAAATACTTTTCTCACCATGAGAAAATCACTAGATTCATTATGCCATTGAAATGGTTTTCTACTGACAGATACTGTTCACAAAACCTTAATGAATCAGCATTGTCTAGATACCTATGTCAGCAGTACTTCAGAGTCTTAGATACTTATCTACACTAACACAAAAGATACACCTTTAATTTTTTTATATCACACAAGCCATGCTGTACTTTCAGACAAGCTTGGTTCAAAGGGAGCAACTGTAATCTCGTCTGAAAGACATTAATTGCAGAGCAGCATGGTGCACACTTAATATAGTGAATGCTCTGCTTCTGTGCAGAGAGGAGTACTCGGGGGACAGAACTATAGAGGATACACTGCTGCTTTTGGACAATAAATCAATTGAATCATGGACTCAAAAGCTTTCATTTCAGTAGTTCCTGATTTTAGGAACCAACTGTATGTAGAACAGAGATACTGTATGTGATGTGAAACA